GAAATGATTCTTCAGCTGGGGATGTCTAAAAAAGAAACAAGCAGCTGTCTCTCACATGGCACGTAATGAAATGACTGTGCTCCTCACTCACCCCTAAAGAAGTTTTATGGCTGAAGTCTGCTATCTTACTGCCATTACCAGATCTACTGGGGCAGGGGCAGGTTGTAAAGTTAAGGTTATGCAAGAGAGATGGAGATGTGACTGTTTGTTTGGGTTTGGACTCTGGGGTGTGAAGGGAAGCATTGGGGGCACTGACCTTGTTGCTTAAGAGATATTTTTTGCCTTGCTCTAGTTCCTGGCAGCAGACTGCCTGTCTCTCTCTGCTGCTGATAGACTGAGGGACAGCAGCCCAGCCATACAGGGCAAAGGCGATGATGACTACTCTTAGGTCAACAGAAGGTGAAGCAACTTAGAAAAAGCTCTTTCCTTTGCCTTTCCTTCCCCTCTGAAAACTTCGTGCTTTCCTGACATACAGACTGCAGAAAACAGAAAAGACGTATGGATACTGTCAATAGGATAAATGGATTCTAACAATGAAGGGCAAAGTAGGGGATAAAGACAATCATTTGATTATGTGATGAATAATGTTTCTGCAGATGAAAGGACCCTGCTGTCAATTAGAAAGGCCAGAGCTGGAGTGGAGCAGAGCAATTACCTTGCTTGTAAATAATGATGGCAAAAATAACCTTGAACCTAAACTCCTTCACGCACAAATGCTGTCTGAAGCAGTATGTGTTTTGAGATGGACTGAGCATCACCCTGTTAAGTCTGCAGGGATGGGGCTTTTCTCTGCTTGTGCTAAGTTCCCTTAGGGGATAAGGGCATCAGTCTAACATCAGCTTTATACAATGGGAGATACGTTCTGCTGATCTTGTTTAGGGCTGATCCTGTATTAAGACTTGTCACCCATCCTAGTACTTAGATGGCATTATTGTGCCATACCTATGTGGCACCTTCTGAATCTTTTCCTGGGTGGTAGCTTACAAGTAGTCTTAAATATATGCTTGTGTCTTTCCCCTGTTTGATCATATTAAGTAAACTTAAAATGCAGATCATTAAATATTAATGATAGCAAATTAGTTCAAATATTTTTAGGCACTTGTGGAATGTGAGGGGTTTTTTTGTTTGTTTGTTTTTGTTTTTTTTTTTAAAGCATACTTCTCTCATTCAAAAAAAAAAAACCCAAACCTAAAAAAACCCCCACAAAAAAACCCAAAACCAACACCAACAACCAAAACAACCAGCCTAGTACCTGTTTTCAGAATTGACAAAATAGCAGTTTTGATATGCATCTTTAACCTGTTAGGAAGGTATTAGAACAAATCACGTCACAGCCAAGCAAATCAAAGTTGTAAGAAACAGTTTTTTGACAAAGAGGCTGATTAATAATGAGAACAAATCACCATGCAACATGACTGATTCTTCATTTCTGGGAGTTCTCAGTCAAAATTGTATTCAATACAAAAGATATACTTTAATTGAATACAAGCTGAAGGAAAGAATTGATGAAATACAACAGCCTGCGTTAAAAAGAATAACAGCCCAATGGTTCCTGTGGCCTGGAAATCTGTAGTGGGGGGCAATGTTTCTTTTAAACTAGTTTTGTTAAAATGCCCTGTAACTACCAAGCCTGTTCCAGCTGCCTCTGCTGCCAGTGGTACATGACTGACCTAGCATCTTCTACAGACTACAATATTTTGTAATAGAGATTCTCCTCCAAAACTTGACAACAACGATTCATCTTCTTTTTTTTTTTTTTTTTTCTTTTAATCACTCTAGTTTCCGTTTTATTCTTCTATCTTACTGCATTTCAGCATGCTACTAGGTTCTGTTAACTTCATTGCTTTTTTGACTTTTCTCTGTTTAAGTTGCTTAGGTCCAAGGTCTTTGCTCAGCCCATCCAAAAAATACAGGCTAAGAGCGAAGTTCCAGTCCTAGGTTTTTATTTCTTTTTCAAAACTGGTAATATTGCAAGATTGGGGGTGCTACTGGTAATCTTTGTTTCGTGGTAGTGATACTCTGTCAGTGGCAATAAAATTATCTGGATGAGTTTAGGAGGCTTTAATCTGAATCCACTTACTCAGTCCATTGCATTACTCGCATGAGAAGAAACAAACTGAGTCAATTCCCTAGGTCTAAACCATGTATGTAGACTGCAGAACTGAGTCCTGAAATAGGAAATGTTTCAATAAGGATACCTTTTCATTCATTTTTCAATACTGCCTCTTTGTCTTGATCTGTAAAAAACCTCTATGAACTACTGAGTAATCTGGTTGCTTCTCATAATGCCTGTATCTCATCTTGTGGGAAAATAATCTGTGGTTTTTAAATGGAGTAGAAACTTTCTGATACGTGTTTTAAACTGGGGTATTTTAAGACAGACAGACACACAGAGACTACTTTCTGCTTCATCACTTTATTCTGACAATCCTGAAACAACCAGACTGTAGCTGATCAAAGCCTGTGACAAAACACTTCATGGAGGCAGGTGAGACAGATTAGAGACAACTGTTGCAGCTGTATGGGACTGCACAGGCAGCTTCATCTCTCTGACATTTCCTCTGCTTTTAAACATCACTTTTCCCAAGCAAGTTTGGAACTACTTCAGTTTATGTGGCTTGCAGCTGAGCTATGCAAAACTTTTAATCTGAAATTCAGCTTCATTACCTGCATATGGATTTCATTACAGGCATGACCTGGACCTATTGCTTGTACATTTTCCTAATTGCATATATCACTGAAATGAGTTTCTACAATATACATTCCCCAACAGCACCATGAAAAATCTCAGTTTATCGTGAAGTTGGTTGAGACAAAACACAGTGGCTTGGCTTTTGAGGAATGCTAAGGCAGGAGAAAAGAAATACAAGTACAGGAACTAATGAGTGTCTTAATGAAGACACAGTAAGAAGTTCTCATCACATTTTCTTGTAATATCAATGTGGGCAGGGCAATTACTCTGTGAACAGAATTGAACAAACTGAAAAATGATAAAAAATTCACAGTGCAAATGAAATCCATGAACTCCATTTTCAAAAGGAGCACTGAAAGAAAGCACAGCAGGATACAAAGCTTGAAATGGACATTCATTACGTTAGAAAAAACTAGCTACAGTTTTGAAAGGGACAGAAGCTCTCCTCATTCAAGGCATAAGCCAGCCTCAAATACTTGAAAGGTACCTACAGAGCACCTTAGCATGGCAGCAACTTACATGTTAAATCATGGGTTGGTGATTTTCCAAAGTTTTGTTCCGGTTTGTCATTTTCATTTCCGAGTTTGAAGTGAAGTTCAAAAAGTAGTGAAAATCTTCTGTGTGTCTTTGACATATATGATCATCTACCAGCTCCTGCCTTGGACCCCCACTGCACAATCTCTTCTGGAAGAACTGATAATAGCTACACTGCTGCTAATCGTGATGTCATCGGCTATGTTACTATGAGGACTGGGTATTCATTTGAACAGCTAATTTCCATATGACTGAATGAAATGGATATCCACAAGCTGTTTAGCATTAATTCATCAGAAGACCAAATCTACTGAAGGCAAGAGAGACATGAAGGAAAACCATGTATTTTCCAAAGCCAAGAAGAACATCTTCATAACCTGACCTTATCAAAGGCCACCATTAACTGCAGTGCTGTACCTCAAATATATGTGTTCTCAGACATTTTCAGCACAAACAAGCATCTCTGCTCTGAAAATTTTCCTCTCTGGCCTCTCAGTGCAGCAACTAGCTGCAGAGAGGCTGACATTCACAGGCAGTAGCCGTGATGTCACTGTATCTCAGGTTTCCTCATCTTTGAGGTGTGTCCCCTTGGTATTCCTCTGCTTGTGGAAGCAGAAATTACAACAAGCAAGGCTGACCTCACACAGGCACAATTACCTTTCATATTAACCAACTTTGCCAAGACCAGCTGTCGAATATGAGAGCTGACAGTGGAGTCACAGCTGGTCCACACAGCTGCCATTGACCACTGATTCATAGCAGGAGCAGGGCTCAGTAACACATGTAGAGCCACAAATGCAGAAGCATAAACCAGAAGTGGGTTTGCTGAATTATTTTAGGGACTGCTAGATGTGAACAGATTTTCCTTCCCTCAAGTAAGTGAGTGGGGGCAATCAATGTATCAATACTCTCAAGTTGTGTTTCATGGCAATCAGAGTTTGTAAATGTTAGCTGGTGTGGGGTAACTAAAATGACCAGTCACTTTGCAGTTAGCATATACCTGCTAGCATAACTGCCAGGAAGTATCTATGAAATATTATTATGGCTGCAAGTTAATACAAAAATTACAGAGCAGCTGTGTTTCATCAGTATTTACAGCACTGTTAATTTGTTCAGGACCTTATTCAAAGACCAGTTTTCCTCATTTCATGCCTGAAATTAGGTTATCTTTTAAACAAGTGTCTTGAACTAGAAGGCAACAGATATGTATAAAGGAACTGAGGCAGATCCAATTAGTGATGAAATGTAATATCCCTTAAGGGAAAAAATAAATTTCATCAAGTAGAGCTTTTAATTGCCATAACTATAAACTCCATATTCCAGATAGGTATGACTTTCTACTGATTTTTTTTTTTTTAAATTTAATGTAAGAGACAAGTAAGGAAATACACCTCATCAATATTTTGTGTAGGGGGTTTTCTATGTTTTCTTCTTAGTCATCTTACATCTCATCCTTTTGGAAACCAACTTTACATCTGGACCTCTATTCTTCCTCTTGTCTTCTGAATTTAGCTCTCTATTCATTTTTTGTACAGTCACAGTCACACAGAGTGTCTATCCAGTAATGCCAGGTCTTGAATAGAAATTTGACCTTTAGGAACTGAAACAGGCAAATTACATGATTTTTTTTTTGCCTGTTAGCAATTCATCATGACTGGAAGAGCCATAATACATTTTTCAGCGAGGCATCTTTGACACAGGTAGTTTAAGGTTTCTGTAAATTGAAGAAAGAAACACCTTAGATTCAGGAAGGCAATATTTAATTGTTGTTTTGCTGTCTAGTTTGCTGAATTAAGCTGTGTGAGGTTTGTTGGGTCTGGGGTAACTTCCGTCTTTTCAGCCCCTGGGTGATCTGCAGAGAAAGAAGAGAAATACTATCATGAATCAAAAGTCACATTGTAATTGTTGTAAATATATCAAACAACTGCAAAGTATAGTTGACAGGTAGTCTTGCTTTGGCTGAAGATATGATATTCTAATTTGAAAAACAAATGAGAAAGCATGAAAAGTTGGTTTTAATCCTGCCTAACAAGGTATAATGAATTTTGTTCTGTGCAAAGCCATTTATAATGGCAAAATGTCTGTACAATATACTAAGATGTGTAAATAGCCAAAACCGAAATAGAAAATATGCTTACAGAGGCTTATGTGATGAGGTAGTACCTTTTTTTTAAAAAAAAAAAAACATCACAATGGTCTAAACTATTGATGGAATAGATTGGCAGAACAAGTGTTTAAAGTATAATAGTTGATCTTATAAAAAAGTATCTCTTCCCAGAGATCTTATTTCTCTCATATGGTCGGACCATTACTGTTGCAACAATGCTACCAAGAAAATATTATTCATAGAGGATAAAACCAAAAGGCACTTTGAGGATAAAGATAAAAGAGAACCAATGGCTTTTGGTGTATCACAACACTGATGGCATCCAAAAGCATTGCTTGTCTGCTTGATCCAAGAAACCGCTTGTCCTTATCCAACACGTATTTATCCATAATGCACATGAACTACATTTTAATATGTACATTAGGGCCATATTACTTACACTTGAGGGCCCAACAGGTGTTAAGTATTAGCTAAAACTGGCTGTTTTTTCTCTTGGACTCTCACTGGAGCCAGAAAGAGAAATACATGGTTACAGGTGCTGAGCAAAAGACACCAATGGAGAGGGACAAGATCCTTAGCTTTCACTGATTCAATTTCAGATGTGAATCTTAACTCCTGACCCCAAGTGGAGATCTGACAGCAGAATTACAGGTTAATCTTATCTAGGGGAGCTCAGTAGCTGTTAAGGTAAACCCACCCTTCAGATGGTATGAAAGGGCTCCTGGAAACCCTGAGGGTCTCCTGCTGATGCACAGTGACAGCGACATGCTCAACACTGCTCACGCTGCCATTTCATCTGTCCTGCAGTCCCTGCACAGGTTTTGTGTGGGATGGTCAGAGTTCAATCTTCAGATTTAAGTGTACCAGGGCAGATAGGAGATCCATTTGCCCTACTTGCCAGAGCAGCTCCCCATTAACAATACAATGTTTTCCAAGCCAATCTCATTCTGCATCTGTTGTCCATTTTACTTAGGTTTTGTAAGACTACAGTCTCCTGAAGAGAGTCTGTCCCTCCATTTTTCTTATTTTTTTCAGTTGTTGTTATAATGTTATGTCATTTCAAGAGACAATGTTCTTCTGAAGTACACAAGAATGACATGCTTCATCTTTTTATAGGGAAAGTCAATTTTAAAATCCATAGTGGTTAAGGTTGTTTCTATCTTGCACTGTTAGGCTATGGAAATACCTTCAGAAGAAAAAGAGTGGCCTCACAAAGATATTTTATGCCCCCAAACCATTCCATCACTCCAAATTAAAAGAATTCTTGTGGTCTGCAACTGTTATTTCTGCAGTAGTTCTCAGACTGGCCATTAAATACACTATTCTGTGCATGTTTTTTTACCTAAATATTGTTGATTTTGACATGAATTTTACCTTGAAGTAATGAGCAGTTTATAATACATCAGTGTAATGGATTGCATATATAAGGAATTGCATATATATAAGGAAAACTGACCTTCTCTTTCTTAATCCTGCCCACCAGCAATTTTTTTCCATCAAGAGGGGAACTCTCAATTTTCAAATAAATTGTAAATATATAACATATTTGGTATATTTGTAAGTGGTCTGGAAATACTAAGCAACAGAATACTTAATTTGATAAGCCGGGACTGAACTAATTGAGTTATTTTATGGGCTCTCTCACTTGCACAGGCTTTACCTTTGATGTATTTTGAAGTTTGGTTTCAGTTCCGCTCCCAAGTTCTCCATTTCCCTCAGGCTGTGGAAGTTGCAGCACACCAGTCTCCACCCAACTCTTCCTCAACCACTACAGACCAGCAGAAACTTGAAGGCTTTGTCTCTGGCAGAGTGTTACAGGAAAAGTGATGGAGGACATTTGTTCCACCTTCCAGAGGCTCAGAGAGTTTTCAGAAGTCACCTACTGTTTCACACAGGAATAAATAAGGTGCATTTAGATACAGTGGGGTGGAGGAGGGGATCACGCAGGGGAGGGGAACAAGTGGTGGCAACCTGCAGCTGGAGCCACAGGGGGGACCAGATCCTGTGGTGATGAACACAGTGAGCTCAGTGGGATCCACCCCAAACTCCTTGCTTACACTTCTCAGGAGATACCTAAACCTAGCAAACCAGGAAGGTATGTGCAGTACTGGTTGTAACACAGAAAGGGGAAATACTTAAACACTCTTAAAAGCACAGTTAACAAATTAATGGCAATGATATTCTGAAGTAAAATTTATGCTTGTCTGATCATTTCCATGACAGATTAGCTCAGTTTGCAGACCAAAGATTGAGGTTTTCAGTTTCAGATTGCATGTGGGCTTGCTAGTAAACCTACAACCTTTTTCCAGCTCGTATTCTCGTCAGAAACATGAGCTCAGTGATCATAAGGAGTGGCATGGGTTTGTGGCTGCCCATGAAATGGGACAGAAGCCACATCTTGGCTGATTCTGATGCAGGTAGCAATTTTTATCAGAAAATTTCACAGATGTGAAATGGGACAGAGTGATTAGGAGAAGATAGGAGGAGGAACAAACAGATGCCACTTTTTCTCAGCTGCTTCTGAGGATGGTAACAGACAGGCCGGTAAGCTACTGAGACCTGTGACTTCAATGCTCTGGGGAGTATTTAACCAGCAGAAAAGATGGAAGAATTGGGTTCATTGATATAGTGTCCCGGACTGAATACCAGAAATGTCACATGCACCTCAGTTTTCCAAGATTTTTACTTTTATCTATTCTTGCATCACCCTGTCTTTTTGCATTTGCACTTCTGTACTTGTGCATGCTGAAAAACAGTTGCAGAGTCAAAGGCTTGCCTTTTCTGTGGGGCTAATTTATATTTATCTTTAGTCTCATGGATTTGCAGCACACTGCAAAGGGGCTATGTATTGAAATCCAATAGAAAGGTACTGCTTGTCTTTCACTTCCTGAGTATAGGATTCCTTTTTGATATTTCATAAAAAATAAATTTTTTACAGTAAGAAAAATCATTCAATGGAACAAGCTCCTGAGGGACATGGTGGAGTCCCCATCACTGGAGGTTTTCAGGATTTGACTGCACAGAGTGGTAGGAAATCTAATTCAGGATGCCTTTCCCAGGACAGGTTGGACCAAGTGATCTTTGAGGTCCTTCCCAACCTGGGCTGTTCTGCGATTCTGTGGTTCCATGGTTTCTTTTTATGCAGTTAGAGAGATGTATGGTCAGCTTAGGACCCTGAGAAACTGTGTCTGTTGTAGCAGCTACTTTAAAAATTAGAATAATGTTAGGAAAAGCTGTTGGGCTACAGTTGCACAATATCGCTCCTCACTTTCAAAAAAGTCCATATGTTATAGTACATTATTGTTTCTCTCAGACCACTCTGTTTCATTTTTTATTTTGCTTTTGTTTACTTGGGCCATCACTTTGCACTGTTCTAAGTATTCGCTGTTACATGCTGAAGAGAACACAACCAAGGAGCCTTTTCCTATATTAATAAAATGCATTTGTTCTATGTCCTAGGTCTTTGTGTAGCATGCACTCGAGACAGACTTTATTTTCTAGCATATGTTATGATAAGTAGTGACAATTCCCACTTTGCATCACATACAGCCTCAGTACTCTTTGCAGCATGCCCAGGAGGCTGTATGGATGCAGGCTTTGTGAGGCCATGTCTGCAACACATCTGCTCATCATTACCCCCTCAGACCAGAAAAGTCAATACTGCAAAAAAATTTAGTTCATTTTTCAGGTGAAGGAAATGGGAACTATAAAAAGAGTTAAGATCACTTTTTTTTTTTTTTTTTTTTTTTAAAAAAGGACATATTTGGACTCAGACATTTTGTAAACCACTGCTGTCTGCAAATTGGGAAAAGCAACACAGGCCTCTACAAAGCTCGAGAGGAACTATTGTATGGGAACTGGCCTCATACTGCTAAATCTGAAATAAGAAGAAACAGAAATCATCCTATTTCCAGTTTAGATCCTGGTGCTTGGGGCAGTCACCTCTTTCGCTGGTGACCTGGTGGCATCTTTTGCAAAAGGGAAAGGTACATAAACTCAGTAAGAGCAGCCCTAGGAAACAGCTCCTGGGATGCCTGTTTCGTTGCTGTATACATCATTATGAAATTGTGTCAAGGCTCTGCTCTCCATGTTCATTCTTCATCAGTTCAACAATGTCTGTTAGCAACTATTGTATTTTCAGAGGCTCCTTCAAGTATCAGCCCATGTAAAGCTCATTTATTCTTTTCATTAAATGCTGAGAAAGCTTCTGTACTAAAATCCCTGCCACTAAAAGGAGCAGCAGCAGGGCTGTTTGCTGACCTCACACCCATAATGAGTTTTTAGTCCTTTGTTTTTCACATTAAGCTAAGTCTTCTTACTGGGTCCTCGCTTGAGTAACCTTGTTTTGTTGTTTTGATTGCTGTTGAGTTTAATTTACTGTGTCTTTCATTAAGCTGATTCAGCTATTACCTATGTTGTGAGCATTTGAGAAAAAAAGAGACCATTTGTCCGTTAAAAAAACCCCAAACAACCAACCCTGAGATCCAAATGTATCACCAAAGACTTGACAAAATGACAAAAATTGCAGTAGCCATTTTTTCTGGAATGGGTCCTCTTTTTGCCAATTCCACCAGCACTCTAGACATCTATTTAATACATAACAGAGTGCTCCATTATTTTGGCTGAAATTATTGTACTTCAGGTCCTGTGTTTCAATTCATTTTTGGATATAGCCTAAACAAACAGACCTCTTATCTCTTCTCCTATCTGCCTATTTACTCTGATTTTTTTCTCAGCATGTTTAATGCAAAGTCCTGTCCTAAAATGACAAGGGCATTTTCATCTAGATGCAAAACAAAGTTATATCTTAATGAAGAAGGCAACTTTAGCAACATCAAGATTTCCCATATTACAGTTGCATTTCACCAGACAAAAAAAATAAAAATAAAAAAAAAATCAGGTCTCAAGAATTTATCATTCAGTCATCGTCAAAGTGCTTACAGTGTTGTTTTAAGGAACCCATGGGTGCAAACCTCACTCCATCTTTCCAAGCTACTTTGGCTGGTGGAGACAAGCAGCGGCAGAGGCAGGGAGGCACTCCTGCTGCCTCAGGCATGGTTCATAAGAGGCAGGGTCTCCAGACCCACCACCTGCATAGCATGTCCAGGAGCACGTTTATGTGTCCCACAGTCCCTGTGACACCTTTATCTGATGCTTTTATCCTCACTAGAGCACTTTTCTTGTTCAGCATACTATCATAGAGCCTAGCTCCATTTCAGCGTGCACCTGGATGCATGCAGCTCACATCCAATGTATGCACTCACCTCTCTCTTCTACTCACATACATATATATATACACATGCATATGCTTCTAGATACACATCTACACATACCTCCCCACACACTTCTCCTGCACCATACCGGACCTGATCCATCTTTCATGAATCCCTGCTTTCATTCAGCAGCTTCCCCCTCCCATTACACAATTCAGAGCTGTGTTAGCATAGTCAAGGAAATAACTCTGAAGCTTCTGCAAGCAAATGTGACCATTTAGAAAGCTCTGGCTCCATCCTTTTCTGCATTGTCACCACTTCAGTTCCAGCTAGCCCTGCCTACACACCAAAAGCTGGTATTAAACTTGCCTGGACTTTGGCCTAAAGAGGCCCTAACCCTCACTTTCATATTTTGCTGCTATCATTCTTAAGCTGTAAGGTATTTTACCTTGAACAAAGAGTTAGTTTTAATAGAGTATGCAGCATATGCATTCCTAGTGAAGCATGGCTGGACTTTGTTATAATAACACCCCAAATTAAAATTGACAAGTGCTCAGCCTCAGAACTGCTCAGGTCAGCTGTGCTTGCTGTTAATGGGTTAGACATTTCCCAGAACACTTGATGGGAGAAACTTCCAGGAAAAGGAAAATATAGGAAAGGTTAAAGACAGTTTCTATAGGCTGTGTTATTGTTCAGGAATGACAGTGAGGGACATGATTGATCAGTAGTCAGCAACTGGATTTCACACATGCATGGCAATTCCCTTCACTTTTAAAGAATCAGATGAGATCGAGGCAATAGGGGCTGCAATGTAGGCATGACGCCTGGTTGCACCACATGGCCTTGGTTTTTTTGCTTTTGTCTTTGCTGTCCTTTTACCATCTAGCTGAATTACTCCTTGCTGGTTTCCCAACTCAGGCTCAGGAATATGTAGATCTTTCTAAGAAAATTTTCCTTAGAAGTAGTTTCACTGTTTTTCAAAGAAAAGTTAAAGACCTGCAGCCATTGTCTCAGGAACGTGCCCTTCTCCATTTTCAGGTAAAACACAGCCAGTGTCTGTCTGTGCGATTGACTGCTGCACAGCTGTTGTTTGCATATAGAGTGAGGAGTTCTCCAGGCTCCCAAAGTGCAACCCCATGCCTCAAGCACTTTGTTGTTTCCTATGACATCCAAACTCTTCTGGATCCTTCCCATGGATTTTAAGGGTGAAGGAATCAAAATAATTTACACTGTCCTAGGCTGCACATCAACACAGAGGCAACTCAACTACTTAGCATGTTATACAGGGTGAAATTGAGAGCTATGGAATTGAACTAGGAGAAGTAAAGTGCCCCTGCCAGGAATGCCTTCATGGAAGCGAGCCTTCTTAGGGCAACATGGTATGCATGATCTTGCAGTGAAGAGGGACTAAAAGAGTGACTCAAGTGAAATCTTATTTGTTTTCCACTTTCAAAATCTATATTCCAGTCCCAGACAAAAGCTAAGGGAAAACTGAGTTTGAAAGTATATGTCATCAGTATAAGGTAAACCATAGTATAAGGCTAGCAGAACTATTCCAAAGCAAAATTTACACGTGCTCATAAAATTCATATAATAAGTCTTAAATGTAGTGATATTCTATAGTAACTGTCATGTGGTTTTGATTAAGCCATTTTGGTCTCCACAACCCTAAATTAGATTAAACGATTTTAAAGGTAGATTCCTCCCTGCCCCTTCAATAGTGCCTAGGGCAGAATGAAATCCATCTGAATAACCCAAATGTACACTTTCATAATTTAATAGGTTAAAAAAAAATCCAGAAATTATATTTAAATCTGACTTTTTCAGATTTACTATGCTTTGTCCATTTGGCAAGTGTAATCTATAGTGCCTCAGAGCAGGACTTCAAAGTTATTATTTGTCTTTCAGTATCTAGCTCTGTGAGGCTCTAAAATTGGCTGGAGTAGCTTGCATACCTTATGATACATTCCCACACAATTTCTGTAAGTTATTGCTGTAAGGAGGTCTTATGTATATGGTTACTGAATAATGGAGAACATTCAGAACAAAAGAATGTTATATTTTCTTAAAAGAATATTTTAAAAATCTCTTTCTTTTATGTGTGTTAAGGGTCTTACACACTCTTTAGCATAACTAGCTTCATCAGGAAAGGAGATGTTGTTTTCATTCTTTGCAGGAAAGAAACTATCTAGCTTGGCTAAGATCAGAAATCAAATTTGTATTAGATAAAAGAACCGAATCCAACTCAGAAAGTCCCAGACTTAATCACTAGCTTCATGGTAACTTTAACTCCAGGTATTTTTGGAGTTTTTGTATCTTGAAAGAGAAACATACTCAGAGTAAGTGCTTTGATTCTCAGAGATGGGCTAATATTTTTCACACATTCCTGAAGTAAAATAAAAGTTTAACTGTTCCTGCAGCAATGGACAGCTAGAAACTGCGTAACATAAACAAAAGAAAGCAAAAAAAATTTTACATATACATCAAAATAGTGCTTGTTTGTTCTTTTAGGGAGAGAAAGGTCACAAATGCAGTTTTCTGGAGCACCTGCTTTCACAGTGTATTATTAACTCTGTGTGTTTTTAGACACTTCTGAAAGCCCGGGTGAGATTCATGCCATACGTATAAAGTCACTTCAGTGGCACACTCACAGTGCAGAAGATACATTGGCACTTAGATGCTCCAGACACTGGCACTGTGGAAACTTTAAGATTGATAGTAACTAATGATAGATTTTGAAGACAAGGAAAAAAACCTACCTACTTTCTCATAAAATCCAGTCAGGGTTTAACTTTAGATTTCAGATCAGGTCAGGAATCTCTTTAAGCTCCTTTATTGCCAATTATTTTACATAAGTGTAAGGGACATGTCCTTCTACACCTCATAAATTTGACATACTGTAGTTTGAAATCTCATTAGCCTTCCTTGTTGCCAGATGCAGCTTACAAACATTAAGGATCTTACAGACATGTTTTTATACTGTTACTCTACCAGTGCTATTTTTGCAAGCATGTGTTTTGTATTTGTCCTTTCCATGAACTCTTCATTTAGTTTAGTAGCTATATAAAACTATTTTACTATAAATCTAGGTTTTTAACTACTTTGGCGTTCTTGGGATGACTGGTGCATGCTCAGAAAAGTTGTATATATAATTTTGTCCTCTGGAAGTACATTAAATACCCATAGATTACACTGAAGTGTCTTGCAGAAGAATGCCTGCTATTCTGCTGCAAAATCTTAATCCACCTCTTTATATACTGGTAACATACATTTTTTTAAAAGCCATGTAAAGTTGGATCTGACTTAACTTGTCAATGCAAATTAAACAACATTTTATCCTTAATCCAATGGATCTGTGTACACCACCCAAAATGAGATCCTGTAATTCCGTTCTAGAACTGCACCATTAATAAAACTATCAGCCTATCTGCTAAATTTGGTGTTGCACTTCTACTTCAGATCAGGTTGGCAAAAGTGAAATCCAGTCCCTGTATGTTTAGATGAGGCCTAAAGGAGGGCCTCATATACAGAATCTAACTTACAAATTCATACACATATGCTGTATTCACTGGTTTGTCTTGCACTGGCATGCATACTGTATATTGCTTTTTAATATATATATTTTTAAATAAAATGTAAATTTTATCTCCCTAATGTTGGTCAATGAGTTTTTCTCTCTTGAGCATTTAAGAACTGAATAAAATAGAGTTTTCTGCTGGGATCTGGCTAACACAAATACTGGATTGTTAATATTGAACAGCATGAATGAGAAATGCCTAAATGTCTTATAATAATAGTCTCAATGTTAGATAATGTAAACTATCCATAGTAAAAAAATTCCACATCGTCTATCTGCCTCAAGGAAAAATCTGTCTGAGCTTTACCTGATGACAAGCCTTAAGAAATATTGATTTGTACATGATCATTACAACAACCTTTGAATTTAGCAGTTATACATAGAAAGATGCTGTCCTCCTCCACATGCCTAATAGCTTTGATTTAAGCAGTTATGCCTCTAAATATGCTGACTTCCTCCTCCACATGCCTGAGTCTCTTGTGGATGCCCGTGTGCTGAGCAGTGGCGCTGAAGAAGCACCTGTGCTCTCTCCCAGCTTTTCGAGGCTCAGAAGGACTGCCCTGATGATGGCTGAACTCCGGTCTTGAGACACAAGCTCTGTCCAAGTTGTGGTAAAATCAAATGGTGAATGCAATTTGAAAAGGCAGTATGAAAAATTTTCTCTATCAGCTTTCACTGTATAAGTTTTGGAACAGATGTATTTTCTCTTTTCTGCCGAGCAGAGGGAGTTTCTCCATAGATAAACCTTCAGACAACTGCTGCTTCCTCTAGCATATGTTTGTCTAGTTCACTGATCCTGCTTCACTGTTTCCAAAAAAGATAAGAGCCTATTCTGCACTGTAGTCAAGAGCTTCACAGGTATGTGCTGGGGGAGGCAATATTAATTTCCTGAAAATGTAGTGTTTTTAAGAACTTTTTCTGTTCTGAAATTTTCATACAAAACCCTCTTTCTCCTCAAACTGTTTCCATGGGAAGAATCATATATCACAAAAAATGCTGAGCAAAGTCCAATCTGCATACCCCCTGGGGCTAAGACTTTACCATATGCTCTTTCCTTATGCTGCCGATCCCTCTGGTTCTCAGGGAGGAAATGCATTTCCTCAGACATATGTGAGCATGTAGCAAACACATTTGTGAAAATGGAGGAGCAGCTTCCACAGTAAAGTGACTCCTATGGGAAACATGGATTCCTTCCTTTTTCAGATAACAAGCTAGTTTGTAATGGGGCATTGGTCATATGCTGCCTTTCAGGTAAAAGGCTATCCTTTTCCTGTAACGTCTATTTTGTTTCATTCATTAGCATTAGTCCCCTAAGATTTGGGGCAGCAAGACCTCCTCTCCATGGATTAAGTGGTTTGGCATCAGACCCAGATAGAGCAGCTGTCATTCACGTGAATCATTGCACAGATTAAGATTTTGATTATTTCCCCTCTTTTCAGTGTGTTACAGATGAAATGCCTCAGTTAGGAATGATCCCTTGCTATACTGCCATTTATTCCCACCATTCCTGAGTGTGTCACTGTTGGCATACCATGCTGAGGATGAAGACACCAGCCCGATCTGGGTGATGGTTTCTGGCGGTAGTGGCTGGTACCAGAAGTGCTGCAGTTTTTGTCTTTCTGTGGTGAGATAGGTCTGTAGAAATAATTAAGACAGACTGAGCAGCCTCCAAAGCACCCACATCATCCTCAGCTATTAACCTTTTGCCCTAACACCTCAGAGGCAAAGGGGATAAAATCATCTGAGAATTACTGTTTAGGGAATCCTGCTTTTTCCTGTTCACATCTCCTTTCAACAAGATGCTCTCTGCTCATCTTTTTCGCCTTTGAAGCACAAGGCTAGCTTTTCTGTGTGCAAGTACATATGGTGTCTCATTAACCAGCTATCCTCCAGCTCCCTAAAACTTTGTGCTTCCCCTTGATGCTTTTATTTTCCTGTGTTACTTCTCTGATGTGCCATTAATACAACTTTGACACTAAGCTTGCCAAGAAAATTGCATTGTCCTATCGCAGGCCTTTTATTTTGGTTAGTCAATCTGTTCGACATAACTTAGCTGTAAAAATATTTTGACGTGTATCATCTGATAAAAAGAGGTTGAACTTTAGCCAGGCTAAATACTTATCAGCAAAAATAAAAATTGTATTTTCCTTCCCTCCTTCCACAAATTTAATTCTTTCTCACTGTTTCCAAGTCAGTGGATGTAGAGCTGGCTGGAGGGGAAGACGCAAAACAAGGTATATGACGCCTGAAATATTATGGGCAGTGTGAAACCCTGTGTACGTGTGTGTGTGCATCCAGCTTGTTATTAATTCAGACAGAACAAACAGGTATTAAGTAACCAATAAGTAGACATAAGTAACTGTTTTATGTTTATGTTGCTGGGTTGTTTTGTTTGTCTGTTTGTTTGTTTTTTTAGGGAAAATAATTAATTGCTTGTTCTTTAAAAGTTGAAGTATTTATGTTTCTAGTTTCTTCAGATCATGGTTGTTACAGTCACAAGCTTCACAGGGTGAAGAGGCAGCTCTTGTAGTTTTTATTCCATAGTCCGGTATGCTTACATTTGAGAAATTAATTTTATGCCATATATGTATATATAGCGTTCTGTCTTGGCTCCAAGGTTTCCTATGTGTCCAAAACATATATATAATGGATATTTCTTTGTTTTGTACCAGACACTGTAGACACAGCTGATACCCTTCAGTGGATATGTTTACTGAAACTTTTGGGCAAAATTTCTCATTCACCTGGTAAGCATTTTAATTTGAAATCTGCCTTTCTTCTGGGCAATATGAACCTTGTCTTTTCCCTCACTCCTTCCCACTTTTTTTTTTTTTTTTTTTTTTTTTTTTTTTTTTGTGTGTGTCACTCCTGAACTGTGCTTTATCTGGAGTTTTCACTTGTCCCTGAACTGTGAAGTCCAGACATTTGGACCAAGTGGTTTTATAGATTAGGGTAAAAATCAAAGGGGGAAACAGTATCCACTTCTTAACAGAACTTTACCACAGATCTAAACCTGGTGATTTCAAAGACAAGATCATAAAACCTTCCATCTTCTGAGAAAGGAGGCATTAGCCCCTTTTTCAGCTTCTTTTCTAGCCCTGTTTCCCCAACTGGTTTATTGAAGCAGAAGCCACGTGGTCCAAGATAAAGGTTTGCTACTCTTAAGTACTTTGTATTACAGTCAAACAGTTTGCAACTCTTTATTTATGGAGATCATATTCAGTTACACTCACAGGATCCTTTTGGCATCTCACCCCTTAAAAACAGGAGTAATTTTCACTAAAGCAAGAGAGGACACAGCCAAAAGACAGGCATAGGCAAGATCAGTGTAAGACACGTTGCTATGTATGCTTTCTTGCTGCACCAACCCAGCTGGGGCTTACATCATTGCATGCACAAAAAGGCTTCCCAAATGTGAAATAAAATGCTTAATTCCTGTAATTTCTCCAGTGAAATCCTCTCCTCTCTTCAGGGGCAGAAAGTCATGTGACTTTCTGAACTGGTTAGACTGGCTGCTAAGTGTGCAAACTACTGCCAGGTTTGATAGACCTCCTCTTGCTATTTCTGTCCCCACTGAGCTCACCATAATTTTAATTCCACCCCAGGTCTCACAAAGATAAGGCATGAATAAACTCACCAGGGAGATACCAGATACAAAAGCAGCATTCAGCAAATTTCCATCTCCTCAAAGTCTGAGTGTGCAAAGCATAAAGAAGTCACAAACTATAAACCAGGAACAATAAAACCATACGACTGAAAAACATTCATTTGTCAGATGTCCTATCTCCTATCCCTATTTGATTAGAAAACACTTCTGTATCTTAGAACAATTCACTTTAAAGATTATACTTTTTTTACATCCATGTTTAAAAGTCCTCTTGATAACATTTGGCTTTCAGGTATTACCCTTTTCCTAGGTAAAATGGCCTTTCCAGCAGCCAAGAACCACTTTCTACACAAGAGAAACAGTTTTCACCTCCCCACATCTGTTGAAAATGTTAAAAAACTAGTACTAGAGAGCCTGGATTTGACTTCCACTTACCAGTGCCTTAATAAAATCTTTTTTTTTTTTTTTTTTCCTTCCGGCTTGTCAAATGAGCAGATAAGTGCATAAATAAGTGCCTTTGGGCACCCTGCTGCAGTTCTGCGCAAGACACAAATCAGAAACAAACTCCGCTGCGACGTGCATGGTTTAAAGCTTCACTGATGTGTTGAGACAAAAACACAGCAGAACGTGTCCTCATTGGCTGGATTTTGAAACCTGGAATTCCGGAGAGAAAAGCCAAAAGTAAGAGAAATGTTAAGGGTAGTGTAGAAAACCCAAAAGTAAGAGAAATGTTAAGGGTAGTGTTGCAGTTGTCTGGGAAGAAGAGCTTGTAAATGCCCTTTTTTTCAGATATATAGACTGTACTATGTTCATTCTTTGAATTTAAGCAAGATTTAAAAAAAACCCCAATTCTTAAAATAGAGCAGTATTCAGAATGTTTTTTCAGGAGTTCTCTCATTACTTTAAATGTGCAGAACTCATGTGTACCAAGCTGTTCTTTCAAAACAGCTTGCAGGAAAAACACTCTGTTCCCAAAGGTTACAACAACTTCAGAGGCCTCCAGCTGACTACCCAGGCATGAGACATTTTCTTCACACTATCTTTAATATAAATATCAGGTGGCCAGTTACCCTTCCTCATGTGAGTAGTCCCAAGGATTGGCTTTAGATTTTTGGGAATGATTGATCATTACAACCATCTCAGAGCTAGTACCCAAGCTACAGACATTTAGGAAAAATCCTTAAATTACACATCCAATGC